CCGGCGGTCAGTTGCAGGCGGCGTCATGTGGACTCTAGGAAGAAGCAGCACTTAGTATGTGCGCTGCTGCAGCAGCAGCAGCAACAGCAGCAGCAGCTAGCCCGTTGCTGCTGCAGCACCAGCAGCAGCAGCTCCCCCGCTGCTGCACAACCAGGAAGAGCAACTGCTTCTGCTGCAGCGGTACTTGCAACAGCAGATGCGCTTGCTGCTGCTGCTGCAGCGCCGGTAACAGCTGATATATGCGGGCCGCCGCTGCTGCAAGACCAGCAACAGCAGCTGCCTTTGCTGCTGCTGCTGCTGCTGCTGCGTAAAAAGCAGCTGCCCTTACGGTGGGTGCCGCAGCGAGTTGCTGCATGCAGCTTGTGCCCTGCTGCTGCTGCTGCAGCGGTGGCGCAGGAAACAGCAGCAGCCGATGCTCCCAGGTCCCCTGCTGCTGCTGCTGCTGCTGCTGTTGCTGTCGTCTACCCTCCCTCTCATTGCAGCAAATGCTGACTGAGCCGTCGTTGAGTTCACGCCAAGGGTTTAGGGTTTAGGGTTTGCTGGCCGAGGCCTAGGGTTTGGAGGCCCCAAGATTGCCGAGGCAGAGGAGTATCTGGAACAGTGGGGCCCTTCCGTACAGCTGAAGCCCACAGCCAGAAGGGCTGTTTTGGTGCAGCAGCAGCAGCAGCTGCAGCAGTAGCAACAGCAGGAGCAGCAGCAGCAGTGCGGACAACGGGGACGGAGGGAGCAGCAGCAGCAATCCTCCTCTGTCTCCTCTGGGGCTCCCACCAATGCTGTTGCTGCAGATAAGAAAACGCCGTTTGCAGCAGATCTGGCCGCTGTTGCAGCAGCGCAGCAGCAGCAGCAGCAACAGCAGGAGCAGTCAATATGAAGAAGCGACAAGCCGAAGCAGCAGAAGCTGGTCCCTGAACAGTGTAGGCAGCAGCCTCGGCCGCATTGGCAGCAAACAAAGCAAGTATGATCGCGCAAGGGTTTTATACAGCCGGTTGTTCAAGCAAATCAGCAGCAGCAACAGCAGCAGCAGCAGCAGCTGCTACTGCTGCTGCTGTTGCTGGGCCTCACTGCGTGGGGCTGGCGCTGCTCGTTGCCTCACCTGCTGCCACTTAGAGAACTCCCTAAAACTCCAAAATAGGGTTTGAACTTATTTTGTCATTTAATGCAAGAGAGAGGCAAAGAAGGACATGCAGCAGCAGCAGCAGCAGCGGCAGCAAGAGCAAAAGTCCTGTCCCTCCCGCCTGCTGGCCGCAACTCAAACTGGCCGCCGCGACTGAGCTGCTGCTGCTGCTGCTGCTGCAGTGACTTTACACCGTTTTGTTTATATTGTTTTTAGTTTGTTCACGGGAAGGGACAAGCGAACCTGCAACCGCAGGAGCAGCAGCAGCAGCAGCAGCAGCGGGAGAGACACTGAGGAGGCCGTCGAGCTAGCGAGCTGTCTTCTACTGCACCCTAAAGCCCCAGCTCTCCTTCTGCTGCCTTCCATTTACTACCATTTGCTGCTGCTAGCCTGAAAGCTGCTGCTGCCGCGAACAGCAGCAGCTGCAGCAGCGAGACAGACACCGAGGCGGCCTCAGCAGCAGCAGCAGCAGCAACAGCAGCAGCGCAGCCACGCTCCATGCGGCAGATACCCGGTTAGCCCTTTGACATAAGAAGCTGCAGCAGCACTTCACAGCGGCTGTAACAGCAAGATACAGCAGCAGCAGGTGCTGCTGCAGCAGCAGCGGCAGCAGCGGCAGCAAGAGCAACAGCAGCAGCGGCACTCAGCGCCAGCAGCTGCTCCTGGGACTTACGCTCGAGAATGGAGGAGCAGCAAAAAATGGAGAATCTGCAGCAGCAGCAGCAGCAGCGACAAGCGCAGCAACAGCAGCAGCAGACACTTCTACAACTCCGGTGGGCTATACTGGGCGAGCTAGCGGGACAGCAGACGCCGCCACAGCACCAAGAGCAGCAGCAGCAGCAGCAGCAAGAAAAAGTGGCCTCCAGTTTAATTGCTGAAAGTCAACATGAAGAGGCCCAGTTCCAGGAGAAGCAGCAGCAACAGGCAGAGCTGCAGCAGCAAGAGCACCAAGCGGAGCAGCAGAAGCCGATAGAGAAAGAGCAGCAGACTCTTTCCCAGACTCCCGTATCTCACCCCGCGCAGCAGCTGCAGCAAGCGCCTCAGCAGCAGCAGCAGCAGCAGCAGCAGTGCTCCTGCGCAGAGGTACTCTCAAAGGCACTGCAGCACGGGCCAGCTTCGTATACACCCGCAGGGGTTCTTGCTGCTGTTCGTTTGCTGCCTCCCTGTGCGTTGCACTCCTGTGAGGCGGGTGCAGCAGCAGCAACAGCAGGAACAGCAGCAGCAGCAGCAGCAGCAGCAGCCGAGCCGGCAGCAGAAACAGCAACTGCAGCAGCAGAAGACGCAGAAGCAGCAGCAGCTGCTGCTGAGGCAGCTCCCTTATCAGACACCTCTGCCGCCGCACCAAGTGCAGAAGTTTCCTTGCTGGTGCAGCAGCAGCAACAGCAGCAGCAAGGACGGCACGCGCAGCAGCAGCAGCAGCAGCAGCCGCGGCTTTCTGCTGCTGCCGCGCAGAGCCTCCTGGCTCTGCTGCACGGTTTGCTGCTGGCGATGCGGCGTCAGCGTGCTGCCTTTGGGGGTCAGCTGCAGCAGGCGCGGCTGCTGCTGCAGCAGCTGCTGCTGCTGCTGCCGTGCGAATTTGGAGCAGAAGCACAGAAGCTGCTTGCTACAGCAGCAGGAAACAGGCTTCGGCGCGGACATGGTTCTGCTGCTGCTGCTGCTGCTGCTGCAGCTGCTGAGACGGAGAGCGAGGCGGCGCCTGCTTCAGCTGGAGGGATAGCAGCAGTTGCGGCTGCTGCAGCAGCAGCAGCAGCAGCAGCAGAGGCGGCTGCAGCAGTCGAGCAGCCGCCAAGCATGCATCAGAGGCTTTCACCCCAGCAGCACTTAGCAGCAATTAGCGCAGCAACACCAGCAGCACCAACACCAGCAGCAGCAGCGGCAGGTGGTCCATCCGCAGTGCCTGCAAGCCCACTGGCTGCGACGCCAGCAGCAGCAGCAGCAGCAGCAGCAGCAGCAGCAGTAGATGCCTTCGCCCGTCATACGCCCAGAAGCAGACCCCTTTCTCTTAGTGACCTAAGAGAGGAAAATGCACTTTCCCCGCAGCTGCAATCAGCTGCTGCAGCGTTTGCTGCTGCGCTGCAGCAGCACCAGCTGCTGCTGTCTTCCCCACTGCAGCCACCGAGCAAGGCCGACAAGCAGCAGCAGCAGCAGCAGCAGCAGCAGCAGCACTCGTCGGTGCTGCTTGGAAGCTCACAGAGTACCGCGGCTCTGTCAGGTAGCCCAGAGATGAGGCCTCAAGACAGCAGTTTCCTGCAGCCTCTGGCGCAGCAGCTGCTGCAGCAGCAGCACCTGCAGGAACAGCAGCAGCGCCTGCAGCAGCAGCAGCAGCACCTACTGCCGCAGCAACAGCAGCCGCTGCAGCAGTCGCTGCTGCCGTTACTGCAGCAGCCGCTAGCGCAGCAGCCGCTACCGCAGCAGCCGCTACCGCAACAGCAGCATGAACAGCAGCTGCAGCAACTGCAGCACCAGCATGCTGGAGAGCCAAGACACTGCAGCACACCAAACGCTGCTGCACCTGCTGCTGCTGCTGCTGCATGGGGAATTGCCTCTTTAACAGAGGAACGAGCAGCAGCTGCTCACGAGGCAGCGGCTGCTCCCCACGTGCCTTCCCAGCAGCAGCAGCAGCAACAGGAGCAACAACAGCAGCAGCAGCAACAGCAGAAACAGCAGCAGCAACAACAGCAGCAGCAGCTGGAGCAGCAGCAAGTAGCCAACACGCTGCAACAGCGGCTGCGCTCGTGTCCGTCTTTGACGGAATTGAAAGAGAGAATTGCTGCTCTTAGAGCTGCACTAGAAGGGCCACCTAAGCAGCAACAGCAGCAGCAGCAGCAGCGGCAGAAGCAGCAGCAGGCGCAGCAGCGGGACCGCTACTCATCTATTGATGTGCTGCAGAGGCTGCAGAAGCTAATGGCACAGGAAGGACTGCAACCAGGGCTGCAGCATAAACACCAAGAAGAACAGCAGCAGCAGCAACAGCAGCAGCAGCAGCATCCGCGGGTGGCATCTCCGTTGGTGTCTTTTACCCCGTCTCTCCAACTCTCTGAAGAGCAGCAACGCGATCAAGCGGTGCAGCAGCAGCTTCAGCAGCCGCAGCAGCCGCCGCCGCCGCAGCAGCAGCAGCCGCAGCAGCAGCCAGAGCAGCAGCTGCAGGAGGAGCTGCTCCAACCTGCTGCAGCTGCTCGTCAGCAAGTGCGGTTTGCAATGGAGCAGCAGCAAGAGCAGTATCGGGAGGTGCAGCAGCTGCAGCAGCAGCAGACGCAGCAGGAGGCGCAGCAGCAGCAGCATGCTGCTGCTGCAGCAGCAAATGCTGCAGCACGCAGCAGACGCCCCGCAGGCCTTCTCTCGCCGCTGGCTGGTGGCTGCTCCCCAGGGCCCATTCCGCCTTTAAGAGAAAGTCTGTATGAAGCAGCAGCTCGAGTTTCTCCCAAGAAAATGCAGCAGGAGAAGCATCAGCAGCAGCACCTCCAGCAGCACAGCCACCCCAGCAGCAGCAGCAGCAGCAGCAGCAGCAGCACCTCTTTGCCGCTGCAGCAGAACTCGGCACAGGAACGGTTTTCTTCTTTCTGCAGCGGCCTGCAGCCAGCTGCTGCCAGAAGAAGCAGCGAGTTGCCAGTGCAGCAGCAGCGCAGCCCAAGAGTACGGACAGCAGCAGCAGCAGCAGCAGCAGCACCTGCAGCAGCACAACGCGCTGCAGCACGGAAGACGAAGCTGCAGCAACAGCAACAACAGCAACTTCCCTTTTGGGAAAGACTTAGTCAGCCCAAGCGGGTTAATGCAGGACAGCAATTGCCGCAGCAGCAGCAGCAGCAGCAGCGGCTGCTGCAGCTCCATCCAACCGAGAACGCAGATCAGCAACCGCAGCACAAGCAGCAGCACTCGACTCCCTCTGTAAGTCTCTCCACTTTTTGTCCCATTGAACTCCACCAAAACCCTAAACCCTAAACCCTAAACCCTAAGCTCAATACCGGAGGCAGAAAGGTTCTTGCTGTGTTCCATTTCCTGCTGTGTGCAGCCGCAACAGCAGCAGCAACAAAAAGCACTTCAGCAGCAGCAACAGCAGCAGCAGCGGCAGTGGCAGCTGCAGCAACTGCAGCAGCAGCTGCAGGCGCTTAAGGAGGAGGAGCGTGAGCTGCACAAAGAGGAGCAGCGGCTCCTGGCGCTTCACCAGCAGTATCACAACGAGCAGCAGCAGCAGCAACAGCAGCAGCAACAGCAGCAACAGCAGCAGCAGCAAGAACCCGTGTCTGTACGGGTGCGTCTGGAGCTGCCGGGAGACCCTGCTGCGCTGCTGCTGCGCTGCGTCTCTGAGAGCGAAGAGGAGGAAGCAGCAGCAGCAGCAGCAGCAGCAGCTCAGGAAGCAAAAACGACAAATGAAAGGAAAA